CTTCACCTTAGCATGTGTTCTTTGCAGGTGCTTGTTGAGGTTTGACCACGTGGTGTTTCCAGCAGTGGATAACAGCTTCTGGCCTGGACACAGTTTGCACCTCACCGTCACATTCCTGTCTATTCTTCGGACGAAATCAAAATAATGGGCATACCTCCACCCCTCGAAAGTTATCGCTGACTCAGCCATGTTTATGCAGCACTGCACGTGGAGATGTGGACGCGCAAGTCGCGCAGATTACGTACATATAAACCTACAAAGCACTGATATAGTAAAATAAAAAATAATAATTTTTGTGTAGTTGTGTATTGCAATAATAACGTATGGTTGTCACAAAATCCCACGGCACACCCGGACTTGTCTCACGGCACACCAGTGTGCCGCGGCACACCGTTTGGGAACCACTGAGTTAGAGTATCTATGTCCAGACTTTGGAAGTGACATCTCAATAACTTTGCTGGACGGTAAAACAAAAATGATTTACGTTGTAATGCGTTGACTCGTGTCAGTTGCATCATTTAACTTATTTGTGCAGTAAAGCCTCTTTTGAAATGCATTAAAAAGAAATGGGTCGTTCCTCTACCTATTGTACGTCTTCCTCAAACGAGATAAATCATTACAGTAGAAAACAGCGTAGTGCTTAACGACATGGAGTTGCAACTGAAGGATTTAGCTTAAAATAAATGGCATGCCCTGGATTCTCACTCCCACTAAATTCCATCTGCAATAGCCTTACTGTAAACTAGCTTTTAGTGGTCTCAAAAGTCTCATGGTGGGCTGTTGGCTTGGCCTTTGATTACAGCCAGAAAGAAGAAAAAAAGTGATGTGGGAAGTTATGTAACGCTTCCATTTCTGCTAAGGTTGCAAGTCCCCTTCTGACATGGTGAACTGTGCATGGCTTTTTAAAGGGTCGTGACCAGAAGCAGAAATTGCTGCACTCAGCATATACTGTACAGTGCTTTGATATTTGTCAGTATGAGCAAAGAACTCTTCTGAGGTTTACTCAGAACAGGAAGTGATTGGCACCTATATTTAAAGCCGACATATATTGCTGATGTCCAGGTGTATATCAGTATGTAGTGTCTCTACTTTAAAGAGTCCTCTCCTGCTAATGTTCAGGTGTATATCAGTATGTAGTGTCTCTACTTTAAAGAGTCCTCTACTGCTGATGTTCAGGTGTATATCAGTATGTAGTGTCTCTACTTTAAAGAGTCCTCTCCTGCTGATGTTCAAGTGTATATCAGTATGTAGTGTCTCTACTTTAAAGAGTCCTCTCTTGCTGATGTTCAGGTGTATATCAGTACGTAGTGTCTCTACTTTAAAGAGTCCTCTCCTGCTGATGATCAGGTGTATATCAGTATGTAGTGTCTCTACTTTAAAGAGTCCTCTCCTGCTGATGATCAGGTGTATATCAGTATGTAGTGTCTCTACTTTAAAGAGTCCTCTCTTGCTGATGTTCAGGTGTATATCAGTATGTAGTGTCTCTACTTTAAAGAGTCCTCTCCTGCTGATGATCAGGTGTATATCAGTATGTAGTGTCTCTACTTTAAAGAGTCCTCTCTTGCTGATGTTCAGGTGTATATCAGTATGTAGTGTCTCTACTTTAAAGAGTCCTCTCCTGCTGATGATCAGGTGTATATCAGTATGTAGTGTCTCTACTTTAAAGAGTCCTCTCCTGCTTATGTTCAGGTGTATATCAGTATGTAGTGTCTCTACTTTAAAGAGTCCTCCCCTGCTGATGATCAGGTGTATATCAGTATGTAGTGTCTCTACTTTAAAGAGTCCTCTCCTGCTGATGTTCAAGTGTATATCAGTATGTAGTGTCTCTACTTTAAAGAGTCCTCTCCTGCTGATGTTCAGGTGTATATCAGTACGTAGTGTCTCTACTTTAAAGAGTCCTCTCCTGCTGATGTTCAGGTGTATATCAGTATGTAGTGTCTCTACTTTAAAGAGTCCTCTCCTGCTGATGTTCAGGTGTTTATCAGTACGTAGTGTCTCTACTTTAAAGAGTCCTCTCCTGCTGATGTTCAGGTGTATATCAGTATGTAGTGTCTCTACTTTAAAGAGTCCTCTCCTGCTGATGTTCAGGTGTTTATCAGTACGTAGTGTCTCTACTATAAGAGTCCTCTCCTGCTGATGTTCAGGTGTATATCAGTATGTAGTGTCTCTACTTTAAAGAGTCCTCTCCTGCTGATGTTCAGGTGTATATCAGTATGTAGTGTCTCTACTTTAAAGAGTCCTCTCCTGCTGATGTTCAGGTGTATATCAGTATGTAGTGTCTCTACTTTAAAGAGTCCTCTCCTGCTGATGTTCAGGTGTATATCAGTATGTAGTGTCTCTACTTTAAAGAGTCCTCTCCTGCTGATGTTCAGGTGTATATCAGTATGTAGTGTCTCTACTTTAAAGAGTCCTCTCCTGCTGATGTTCAGGTGTATATCAGTATGTAGTGTCTCTACTTTAAAGAGTCCTCTCCTGCTGATGTTCAGGTGTATATCAGTATGTAGTGTCTCTACTTTAAAGAGTCCTCTCCTGCTGATGTTCAGGTGTATATCAGTATGTAGTGTCTCTACTTTAAAGAGTCCTCTCCTGCTGATGTTCAGGTGTATATCAGTATGTAGTGTCTCTATTTAAAGAGTCCTCTCCTGCTGATGTTCAGGTGTATATCAGTATGTAGTGTATCTACTTTAAAGAGTCCTCTCCTGCTGATGTTCAGGTGTATATCAGTATGTAGTGTCTCTACTTTAAAGAGTCCTCTCCTGCTGATGTTCAGGTGTTTATCAGTACGTAGTGTCTCTACTTTAAAGAGTCCTCTCCTGCTGATGTTCAGGTGTGTATCAGTATGTAGTGTCTCTACTTTAAAGAGTCCTCTCCTGCTGATGTTCAGGTGTATATCAGTATGTAGTGTCTCTACTTTAAAGAGTCCTCTCCTGCTGATGTTCAGGTGTATATCAGTATGTAGTGTCTCTACTTTAAAGAGTCCTCTCCTGCTGATGTTCAGGTGTATATCAGTATGTAGTGTCTCTACTTTAAAGAGTCCTCTCCTGCTGATGTTCAGGTGTATATTAGTATGTAGTGTCTCTACTTTAAAGAGTCCTCTCCTGCTGATGTTCAGGTGTATATCAGTATGTAGTGTCTCTACTTTAAAGAGTCCTCTCCTGCTGATGTTCAGGTGTATATCAGTATGTAGTGTCTCTACATGTCTCCATGCTTTAATGTTAAAAAAAGCTCTATATTTTTCTCATACTGCCTGTGCTGCTGCTCTTTTCACCCTCTGTCTGAAACCAGAGCCCAGTCTGCTCTGATTGGTTAGCTGGCCGGCTCTGTTGTGATTGGACAACAGCTTAGGAAAGTCCCGCCCCTTAGCCTATCACGTACAATGTGTTGGAACTAGGGATGGGTATCGTTTGAAATGTATCGATTCCGATTCCGGTTCTGCTTATTGATTCCGGTTCTTATCAATTCCCCGTTTCGATTCCAAAATTGTAAAAGAAAGAGGTCAAACGTTTAGATAACAAAAATATCTTTATTCTTTTAAGCTTTAACTTTAACATTTTTACAAATAAAAAAATATACATGCAATACAAATGTATTCCACAATAGCTGTGCTTTATTTTAACTCAGCTATGGCTTTGGCAAGCTATTAACAGTCATTACACTGTGCCTTGTCTTTTTCTTTCTTAGTGTAGTGGAGCCTCACTTCAGAGCGTTTACCGCGACCCATCTTTGGTGTTATGAAGTGACTTAGTTCGTGAACTGTCTACGGGAGGGCGGGGGGAGCGTCTGTCGTCTGTCAGCGCAATTTACATGATGCCGTTTAAGAAAATGAAGGGCGGTGCCGGCCGTCAGCGTACCGAGCCGGCCGTCAACGGCCCGCTGACGACCGACCGTTCTGTGATTCTCCAGAACACACAGATGGCCAGTCCGCCCTTACCCTGTATTCCACCGGGTCACCGCAGCGCCGCGGCGCAGACGGACCCGGTGGAATACAGGGTCTACCGCGTTTAGGGACCGTTAAGCAGAACCGAAATTGTGTATTTTGTATGGGTACCCGGTACCCGGCATTTTCTTATCGGTTCTCATCTGGAACCGAGTTTCGGTTCCCAACCCTAGTTGGAACGCTATCCAATAGAAGCGCTAGTGTTACAAAGTGATGTCACTATATTCAGGAAGTAAAAAAATGTGAGCGAGAAACTCCCTCTGGAGGGAACACAGGGATTTTAGCCTTTGCAAACCAATTGCATGCACTAAAACCTAAAGAACAGACACACACGACAGGGAAGAGCAAACCTCCAAAAATATAAATATGTATACAGAATTGGATCCTCTTTATAAATCTTTAGCAATGATGGTGAGGGCACACACACACACACACACACACACACACACACACACACACACACACACACACACACACGCCCTTTCAGCTCTCTTATTTTGTATCCTACTCTGTAATTTGTTGGTTCCCCGCGGGGTCATATTCATTCAAATTTGATTTTAACGAATGGAATTGGAAGACCCCCAACGCTGACCCAACGTATTTACAAGTTTTTTTAATTCCCAGCGTTGCTTCGGGTGGTTTCACCTTCACCGCGGAGCTTTGCTGTCCAAATGACCAAACAACAAGACTGCTGGCCTGATGACTGTAATTATCTTGGCTCTACTCAAGACGATGTCCCCCTGAATTAATCCCAGTTTTCTTTCTTCTACTTGCTGCTAATGAGTCAATGGCCAAGAGGCTGCATATTTCCATTTATCTGATGGCACTCAATCGTCTAGTGTAATTCAAATGTTCAGTGTTCTTTAGATAGTGGACAAGATATATAGCTAGAAAGATTGTATTTGACTGGTAGAAACTGGATGTGATAAGTTTATCATCCTACTTCAAACTGATTACAAGATCAATCCATCAGACACGCGGCAATCAACATTTACCTCAATATGACAAGTTATTGCCACCTTGAAACAATATTTCATAGCAACTCCTTTTTCTAAAAAAACAGGTGGACGACATGTTAGACGAAGAGAGCGACAACGAAAGTGAAAGCCAGGGCAAAGAGAAGCCAGGTAATGAGGAAGGGGATGATGATGATGAAGAGGAGCAGCAGCCAGAAGCTGGACAGAAAACAACAGCAGCAGCAGAAGGAGGAGGAGAAAGTGGAGGAGGAATCGTTCCTCAGGAGATGAGCGTGGAGGAAAAGAAGATCCAGCCAGCATCCAGTGAGGCCAGTGTGCTAAGGTATTTGCAAAATCCACATTTTTATTTTGTTTCGAGTGATGTCATTTTGTAGCCCGTTAGCATCGCTTAGCGTCTCCCTTGAAAGCAAACAGCCAATGAGATGTGTCCATTTGATTTTGGAAAACAAGATCTTTTGCAAACACACATTTATTTATTTGTTGTCATTAAGATTTTTATTAATTTTGTACCCCCCTTGCACCCCAATGATTCTCTCACACACATGCCTACATACACATGTGCACACACTTCATCAACGTAAAGCATGTGGATACACATTTACAACAAATATATCGTATACACTAGGGCTGCTCGATTATGGCAAAAATCATAATCACGATTATTTTGGTCAATAATTGATATCACGATTATTAAATACGATTATTCATTGACTTTGAAAACGTCCATTTATTGAACTTTAAAACAAATAAAAATAATAATTTGAACAGTATCGTTTTAACTGTTGATTACCCTGAACGTATAATTCAACTGAAAAACCAATACTAAAATAAATGCTATATTTACATTTAAATAAGTAATATCAAAATAATAAATACCAATAAACAAGATCAACAAATATTTCGGAGCGCACTTCCACAAGCTGCGAAACATATATAAATATGATAAATAAATTAGATCAAATATTCTTTCACGTTTTGTTCAGCAGGATAATCTCCACATATCAACATTACTTTTTTAATATTTAAAGAGTAAATGCAATCCTGGTTTTTACGACGTATTCTAGGGATGCATATCGTTGACTTTTTGACGATACCGATGCCACTGAACGATACCGATACTCAACCGATACATATCGTGATACTTTGAAAAAATGTATCATCCCACAATTACTCCCATGAAGCACTTTACGATATAGTTAACATGTCAAATGAATATTAAATTCAATTGTGGGACTTCTTTGACCTTTTAGTTCTGAACAAACAATGAAAGATACATACAAAATATGAAGAAAACCGATTATGGAATATCTTTTATAACACCCGCCATCAGGTGTGCCGCGTGAATAGCACATCTTGTCAATGCAAACAGACATTTATAGCACCGTTATAATTAATGTTAAACCTGAGATTCGACTAGAGAACAAATACATAATAGAATAAAGGTCATGAGATCTCGGCATTGCATAAACAAACAAATCTCATCTTTAAAATCAACATTTGCCTTCACTGGTGAGAGAAAACAAATCCCATCACAGTTCATTTGTGGGACTTTTACCTTTCTAGTATTGAACAGACAATGAAATACATAAAATATGAAGAAAAACGATTATGCAATCTAATTTATAACTCCCGCCATCACGGGCCACGGACTCACTTTTAAAACTTTTTTTATTTTTATTTTTTATAAAAGTATCGAAACCAGATCTGATTTCGGTACGGTATACCGTAGCCACCAGTAACCGGTAATACCGGTATGCATCCCGACCGTATTCCTGTACCACTTTTAAAATCACTCCGTCTTCAATGTTTCTTCTCCAGCAGCCTTTGTTAATCAAATATGATAACAGGAACACCACATTACTCTGTCTCCCTTAAGACCAGACATTTACTATCACATGTTTCCTCTAAGTGTCATCACTGTTGGCACCCTCCTCTGTTGATCCTGCATTCGGTGCTTAAACACCCTCGGGTGAGAGAGGGATGCTTAGTTTAAATTGCACTTGGCAAGAACCCCATTGAGAATCCTTTTGCAAAAGGTGCTGTGTATTTTCCGGTCTTCCTTCGCCCAATGACTATTATCTTAACACGCCACTTCATCATCACTGCTATGCCGAAGCCAGACGGTCGGGTCTGTTTCCATGGATATTAAATCCAAACAGACAGCAGGCAGTCTGCGAGTTATGAACACATCAGACTCTGTTATAGCTGAAGGACAGGCCTCTGACACTACTGAGGAAATATTTGATTAGGTTTTCTACATCTGATGCATGTTATATTTATCAGTGGGATGTGACATTTCCCAGAACAAATACGTTTATTTAGAGTTGAGTAACAACATGCGGCAAACTCTGGTCAATCTCCGTAGACTAGGGATGCACCGAATATTCGGCCACCGAAAATTATCGGCCGAAAATGGTTAAAAAGGCCCTTTCGGCTTTCGGCCGAAAGGGTTTTAGCACCGAAAAAATATCACCGAATGTCAGAACAGGCTTACGTTGGTAACCTAACGTGTTGTTGTGATGACGTAATAAAGACGCGGCGACCATGCTCGCGGCTGGCTCACAGGGGGGGGGGGGGGGGGGGCATTGACCTTTGTCATCGAGATTGCCCTGAGCCTTTAACAAATCGTATTAAATAATCTGATGACAGACTGTAAACAGAATAGCTGACATTTTAACAAACTAAATAACTCTGTTTCCTCTAATCATTAACCCATGTTTGTATCATGGAGTTAACTCCGTGTGGTGCTGCTAGCATACATAACACCTGACGTGGAAACGTTACTCGTGATGGGGCTACAGAGCTGCTAGAAAGACGGTCGAACCCGGTGCATTCCTCCGTCTGCATGCGGTGCACTTTTGCAAAATGTTTAGACAAATTGCTCGTGCTTACATGCTAAACTCTTATTGCACTTATGGTAACAAGTATTCTCCACATCGAGACGGGTAAAGTTTAACCACACCTCGGAGCGCGTTCTCTCCGCCATCTCCGCAGTGTGCTCCGCTGCATGTAGCAGCTGCGTGTGTGTAAACTGCCCCGCCCCCTCGCACACAGACGGGAGAGAGATCTCGTCTGATCGAAAATACATCATAGACGCATTTGTTGTCTTTGCATATTAGAAACGAGTTGGCGACACTAAGACTGCGATATCATGTTTTTTAGCAATAATACATGACATATATAAATGTACTGTATGCATTCAAAAGTGCTGAATAAATGTTTTATGGACCCATAATAGTGATTATTATTTAAGTTAAGTTTTGCCATAATCATGTCTATTTCCATAACCAGGTAGCTGAACAACATTGGTAAAAAATTTATACATTATATATATATATTTCTATTAATCATTTTCGGCCTTTCGGCATTCGGTTTTCGGCCAACTGTTTCCTATTTTCGGTATCGGTTTCGGCCAAGAATTTCCCATTCGGTGCACCCCTACCGTAGACCCCTTGCTTAAAATGCCCAAGAAATAAACATGTTGATAGCCTGGTACAAAAAGCGGTCCCTAGAATTAAGTTTGCCATTTATGAGAATTTAAAAAGTGAATTAATGTAACTCACGTGTTAAAATTGTATCAAGGATTGTAGTTTTGCACATTAGGGGTATTGCGTGCATAAATCTACATACTCTGTATTAGGGCTGGACGGTTAATCGATTTTAAATCGAAATCGCGATTTTAAATGATGCGGTTATCAAATCGCAAAGCCTGCGATGTTCTTCTTGTGTGTCAGTCCTCCACACCAATCGGAAGTGCTGTGCTCCACATGCACCAGTCATTGTTAACCAATCAGAAGTGGCCCACGATAGCAGGTGATAGACAGATTGATCCAATCACCTGCCAAGTATTTTTGAAATACTTTTCCAAATGGCTTCCAATGGAGCTTGAGATGGTTTGGTGAAACCATCTGAGTCAGGTCAGCAATGCTCCATCACATGTTTCTATTACAGGGTGAGTCTTAAACTGAAGCTCGACTTTAAAGCAACCCAACGGAAGTTTCCTGTAAGTTTAGTTATTTCACTCGTATCTCGGGCTGCGGGGGTGCTAGAGACGGGAGCACGTTGATGCGACCTTCCTAGCCGGAGATATGGCCGCATTTTACAATAAACTTCCGTTGGGTCGCTTAAAAACAAAATCGCAAATCGAATCGCAATATCTGTCAGAAAAATCGCAATTAGATTATTTCCCCAAATCGTGCAGCCCTACTCGGTGTTCTCCACGAGGCTCGTAGAAAACATGAACCGTTACAGAGCTACCTTACAACATTGGTGTCTTTTATAGAGGACAAATCTTCTTTGTAGTATTATCTGGTGATTATGTAGTTGCAATAATGTTGTTGCTCTCTGGAATAGAAGTGGAATAAAGTGTTGGTTGATTATAACTAAGTGCACATAATGCCTCAGACTCAATAGGCTACGTTAAAATCTGTATTTGAAACCCATTTGTTTGTTGAGCATTTCTTTCTTCCCCTTTTCAATGTTGTGCCTCATCAGTATTCTGCTCTCAGTCATTTCTTGAAAGTGAATGAAACACATTCTGAACATGATCTAGCTCCAAGGATCCCCATGTAGAAAGAGGATAGGAGCCATCACACGTTGTTGGCCAAATAGATACCGACTGTTGTCCTTAATGTTGAACCTCTGCACCTCCAGACTTAGTTTTGTCTGCCTTTTTGAATCCAGCCTCACTGCTCTGAAGCTGGAAGAAGGAGATTTGAGAGTTTTCTTCACCAGTAAAACTCTTTTTCTCTGCGTCTCTGATCTTGTTTGTCTCTGCATCCACAGCCAGGCAGTTTGATAATATTTGTTTCCTTGTTTCCCGTCTTTTGGACATTTGAGTCTTGGTCTGACACCTTGGGTTGTTGCTAATGAGTCGAGTGTTCGCTCTGGTGCTTAATCGCTGTTGTCAAACGGCAGTCAGTGCAATGGTGCAGAGTAGTGACACACGATTAGACAAGTAAAAGAGTGGAAGTTAGATTGTGTAAGCACTGTTGAAATAAGCAGGTAGGTCTTTGGGTTCTTCCACAGTAAGATACCAGAGTTATAGTGTTTACATTATCCTCTCTGACCTCTGGTATTATGTTGGGAAAAAGGTTTTAAATGCACTTCTCTGCATCGATCTTGCTTGAGTAGCTTGACTTTTCTTTCTGATATCTTTTATGAAAACCAAGACATCGCTCTTTTTTTTATAAATTCTGAATTAGAAATGGGATTCAATCAATGCTCAAACATCCATAGTGTGCACCATTTGGTCAAACATTCCTTCCTACGCCCCTATATAGACCACAAAAGAACTGAAGCCCTTACATGCTATAAGAGCAA